GTCTCTTCCCCAGCTATACACACAAGTTAATATTGTTATGAGCACCATAATTAATTAAATCTGCATTGCTTTAATTGCGTCCCGCATCTCCACATGTAACTGGCAGTTGTAACAGATGTGGTTTTTGGCTTGCGTGGACACATGGACTCATCAGGAGAGAAAACAGGAGGATGATTTTGAGAGATATCTGATCTTTTCAACTAGCTGGTTCACAGGGGACGGAGGTGATGGCTGAAGGCTCTGCCTCACATTCTACCTTTACAGACTCGGCAGACTTGCTTGTTGTTCCTAATCTGTGAGGCAAGTGCTCTGTTGGAAAAACAAGGTACTTGCAGGTTAAGCTAATAACATGGAATTGAAAATGGAGTGTTTAGTAAACCTCCTGATCAAATGGGGGTAAAAATAAATTCAAAAATAATAAAAGAATATAAAATATTTGCATATACGAGTTGTATTTTGTATCAAATTTGCTACATCACACTTCTTTCTTTTCTTTTTTTTAACTTAAATTTATTGTGCAGTTTCTACAAAACACAGAGTCTCAGACTGGCTGCTGCACTTTACTTTAAAGCATTAGGGTAAGATGGGGACTGATTATTCAAGACTTTGTATGTGTGAGGAAATATTTTAAATTCAACAGATTTAACAGGAGGCCATCAAAGAGAAGCCAATATATGGGCAGTGCATATTGTAAAAATATAATAATATACACCAGACTTTTTACTACTGTGACCACTATGCTTGAATTAACTTTCCCCCCTTTTGTTCCCAAGGATGTTTGAAGCATTTCCTAATTCTCAGGGTGGATTTTTAGCAGACACGTTGGTCCGGGTGCTGCCTCCTGTGTGGAATTACAGGGCCAATCATAATATCCGCTCTGAGCTGCCTCTGTGTTAAAAGCTCTTTGTACTGGAGCAAGTTTGGACATTCCAACTTGGCATACAGTTACGGCCCCATTATACTCGCTGTGCACTGCCTGGCAAACCGCACCATTCATCACCTCTTGATTTTTGTAACCTTGGTCTTTGTACTGCAGCCACTGGGTTGAGGACACAAGTGTTCAACTGTGTTGCTTTTTACAACCATTTAATGATACATCAGTACAGAAGCTCAGAGATTCATATATTACAGAGGAATATGTTGCAAGAGTTTGAAAATACTTTGTGGGGGAAAATCACTTTCTTTGATTCCAGTTTTTTTTTTCTTTCTTCTTCTTCTTCGCCTTCGCCCTAAGCTCTGTGCAGTTATGTTTATCCAGGAAGTTGCCTTTGCGTCAGAATCTTTGTCCTTTGAGTGCCACTCTTCTCATCTGGAGTGGATGATTTTAAGAGAAAAGTATCAATGTTGATAATCAGTCGTCATGGGGCTGACTTCTTTGGTCTTGTTCTGAAAAGGTTGTAACAGGTGTAACTATTTTTTTTTTTTTCAGTTTCACTTACCATCAATTTGGGTTTACATGAGGAAAGGCATCCAGCATAAAAACTTGCCAAATCAAACAAGTGGTACTACACACTGTGGTGACCCCTTGTGAATAAGACAGCCACTGACAGTAGCTGCTTCCTCTCATCCTACACGGGAAGAAACTCCTAAGCAATTTTTTCCAGTGACAATCTTAGATTTTAATGTTAAGTCTTTTGTGCGATTTAGATTAGATGAAACTTTATTAATTCCTCGGGTGGGTTCCTCCAGGAAACACAGTTTCCAGTAGCACAGCACCGACAGAAGTTGCATATTCCAGATACAATAAAAGGGAATGAGAGTAAGGATATACGCATAAATATACCACACATACACATATACAGTGGCTTACAAAAGTATTCGGCCCCTTGAACTTCCACATTTTGTCACCTTACAGCCACAAACATGAATCAATTTTATTGAATTCCACGTGAAAGACCAATACAAAGTGGTGTACACGTGAGAAGTGGAACGAAAATCATACATGATTCCAAACATTTTTTACAAATTGGGTGTGCATAATTATTCAGCCCCTTGAGTCAATACTTTGTAGAACCACCTTTTGCTGCAATTACAGCTGCCAGTCTTTTAGGGTCTGTCTCTACCAGCTTTGCACATCTAGAGACTGAAATCTTTGCA